CCATATCCTTGAGATTAGAGGTAGTGAGAGACAGATGTGGGTTTTAGTTGTGCTTATGCTTCCTATTTTTCCTCATGGGTTTCAGTCTGCTCTTGTTCCCTCCCCTGCACCACCCCCCCCCCACCATTTCATCCAGCTTTCCTTTCAAATCGCTAGTCCTACTGACCTATGATGACTTCAAACTCACCACTAGATGCAGAGACACCAGCCTTACAAACTTCTTTACCAGCAATAACAATCTCATAATGTTTAACCCCTGGAATAAAACCCTACATTCATATCACTTGTAGTGGACCTACTTTGATTAAACCCCAACCATTTCTCTGCTGAGACTCTCCATTTATTCACTCATTCTGACTGCCCTTTAATTCCTTGTGCAAATGTGTTATATCTGCTATAAAGTCCTTCTAATCCAACAGCTGGTCATCTCTGGGTCAGTTTCTAAGACTGCTTTTTCTTTTAACTATGTGTCACATTTTCCTTTTTCTTCATGCACCTGCTAATTTTTATGCTATACTGGCTATTGTAAAGAATAGGTTGGAGATACCTTGTCTTCCTCTGACAAGTGTTGATTTTTATTTTAATCAGCAGATAAATAATTAGCTGATCACCTTGAGCATGTGGAAGCTTGGATTTACATTTTTGTTAGGGTGGGTCTGTTTCAACTTTGTCTTTAGGTCTAGAGTGAATCTCTTGGTCTTGGGACATAGTTTTTGCTCCTAAAGCATAACTCTTCTGTGCTTTCAAAGAAAATCCTGAGGTATTTACCACGCCTCTTCACCTTGGTGTGACTTAGACTCCAAACTGTCTTCATTACCATAGGCAACAGTTGAAATCCTTGTTCTGATTTTCAACTCTTTCAACTGTTGCTTTCCCCTGGGTACTTAGAGTCTCCCCTGCGTATATGTACTTTAAGGTCAGTCAAGAATTTGAGAGGAGTTTGTTTACATATATTAGGGCCAGCCCACCTGTAGGATCCCTTATTTCTAGGGTATTTTCTTTCATTTCAATACACTCTGAGAGCCCAAGTTCTGTTAGTTGATACTTCAAGATGGTAACTATAGCTTTCTGCTTGAATTATAGCTATTTCATTTAAACAGACTGGGGCATCCCTTAAGAAAAAAAAAAACACATAAATGTGTGTTTCACCCAGTGTAGTTCTCTTGATTCAAGGGTTGAAGCTTCTTCAACCCTTGCTTCTGCCTGCTTTTGGCCACTTTCGCATGTCTTTAAATGTTTGTTTTTTAATATTTTGTTCAAATTTATAATGGTTATATACTGGAGAATTAGCCTATTGCAAGCTGCTCCCTCATAACTAGAATCATAACTTTGAGATAATCTTTTAAGGCTGAGGCAAAAGGAAGAGAGGAGTGGTGCTGTCTCTGAATCTTGTTAACAGAAAGAAAGAACTGGAGAGGTTTGGAAAATATGAGTAAAGAGGTGTCAAAACAATCTCCTCCTTTAATAGATTGCCTTCCTTTGCTGGAAAAAAAGTGAATGAGTGAGTGTGTAACACACAGAGAGAATGAGAAAGTGCTACAGAGCTACCCCCCTGAATCCAGTGCATAGGGATTAGAAGGTACTGGAGGAATATGCGGCAAATCTGTCCTAACTGACTGTGTCAGTTGCTGGTGTGTGTGTGTGTGTGTGTGTGTGTGTGTGTGTATACACACCATGCACCCATCAGCAGGGCTAACTTGGAAAAATCTAAAGGCTAGTAAATAACACTGTCTGTCTCTCTTCCTCTCCCACTGCTAATTATTTGTTCTAAACTATCAAACAAGATGAAAATGATAAAAAGCATGCCGGATAAGATACTTCAGGATATTTTACCTGTTTTTTCTTTCTTTTTCTTTTTTTTTAAATAAAGTTTTAAATTAAACTAATGAACTTCATTCCTTCCTTCCTTTTATTCTTTGAGAGTGTGTGTGTGAGTGGGGGAGAGAGAAAGAGAAAGGGAAAGAGAAAGAGAGAGAGAGAGAGAGAGAGAGAGAGAGACTCTTAAGCAGACTCTATGCTCAGTGAGGAGCCTGATGCAGGGCTTGATCCCATGATCATGACCTGAGCTGAAACCAAGAGTTGGACGCTCAACTGACTAAGCCACTTAGGTGTCCCTGTCTTTTCTTTTAAACATGTCTTAGGATATCTGCCCAGGATGCTACTGATGGTTTAGAAATTATGATACCTATTACTGGTCCACATTTTGGGGAAAACAGACAGCTATCAAAATGGCCAATAGGAGGCCTACAAGCCAAAACTGGACTCCTTTCAATTTGGTATCTTAGATATTGGCCCAGATTGTGTTTTCAATATTTTTGGAATTAAATGCACATTAAAAAATACAAATTCTTAGTTGTCTCCTTTAGATGATACATGTAACTCTTCAGTTCCCAGAACCACAAATACTGAGGCTTGTCTCTATTACTCACATTTCTGAACACAGCCTATCTGACCCCATAGGTTTTTGAGTTTGTGAGCCCTGCTCTAAATCTTGCTGGGTTGCCATTACTGTCTTGTGAATGCCACCATACTTACCTGTCTGGTGTTTAGGAAAAAAGGTCTAAATTGATCCATGGGAAGTAAGGATACATGTAAAATCCCCTAGAGAAAACAACAAAACAAACTACACCTGCCAGAAGGATGGCTTGAATGATGACAGATATTCCCACAATGCTTTAAGAAAGCTTCCCTTGGCCTAGATATGAAGAGTGTTTCTAGTGAGGAACGAGTTTGTGAGGTGAGACACACCACTGAGCTGCGAAGGATGGGATAGAGTGGCAGGCGAGAAAACAATGGAACTGTCTGTGACTCTTAAAAAGAGAAGACACATTGGGCAGACAGAGCAATTGGTAGTGAAAAAAATGTAGCAACATCGCAGAGTGGCCTCATAATAGATCAGAGCAGCAGGAGGCTGGATACCACAGTAGTGACCACATAGCAAAATGTCCTACACACACAGTGCAGGTGTGATGGCTTCTGAGCATGGAAGTAAAGAGATGAAAGATTAGAGTTGAGTTATGATATAATGAGGTGGAGGGAGAGGAGAAGACAATGAATTTTAAAGATGGAAACAGAATTCTAAAGAGACTCTTGGGAAGTCTTTAAGGCTGGAGAGTGAGTAGAGAATTCAGGGCTACTCCTACAAAAAAAGCCTTAAACATTAGTGGTTAAGAGTGTGGGGTCTAGGGATGCCTAAGTGGCTCAGTTGGTTAAGCATCTGACTCTTGAAATCAGCTCAGGTCACGATCCCAGGGTTGTGGAATCAAGCTCCATGTTGGGCTCCAGTCTGGGTGCGGAGCCTGCTTAAGATTCTCTCTCTCAATCTCTCTCTCTCTCTATCTCTCTCTCTCAGAAAAAAAAAAAGTGTGTGGTCTAGAATCAGACACATGAGGGCTTTGCAATTAATCATCTAGATGACTGGGCAAGTTTTTAGCCTCTCTAAATTTCCTCATCTATAAAATGGGGATAGGATAGTATATACTTCATAGGATTGTGAATGTTAAGTGAATACTTATAACATGCTTAGTCGAGTTTCAAATAAATGTTAGCTACCACTATTATTATTAGTAGTAGTAGTAGTAAGGCATGAACACCTATGTGCTATGAGATGTGCATTATATCATGATCATGATCAGCATCACCCTACTTCATGTTAAAGCACCCACATGTCTGGAAGCTTTTGTTAAATAGCACATTTGACCTGGATGGTTTATTATCAGCAATGAACACATTTCAAAGGGATGGGCAGAAATTTGAGGAGAAGTTCAGACTGTTTGGATCTGGTTAGAACTCTTGCTCAATTGGTGGCTTTGAGAAGTGTGAAGGCAGCGTGAGAACATTGGGCACTGGGAGGAAAGAATAGAAGACACACTGTACCTACTTTGTAAGTCAGTCTGAATTAGATATAGTATAGCTATATTCCAATCTATCTGGGAGTTGCTGTCTGCCATGTGCATGTTAAAATTTTCATTATAGCTACCTGAAATGTTTTGGTTGGGCTGGGCTAAGGAAGAGCTCCTTCATGCCTGTAAGCAGGAGTCTGTTGGGATAAAGGTGGAGGTACATGGAAGAAACCTTTACTCTTTTGGATCAGGAGAAAGAGCTGCTATAACTGGTGACATCATTGATATTGTCCAGTCTGCCTAAAGGAGGCTCTTCTCAGCCGAGAGCTTATAAAAAGCAGGCAACTGCCACAGAAATCAGATACTGGTCCCAGTGAAATTCAGCCCATGTGTCTAAAGGGAATGCAATGAATTGCTTTTCCTTTCCAATGCTTTCTTGTTTGGCTTCCATGGAGGTTTGTGTTTGTGGAAGAACTTGGGTCTAATTGTTGCAGACAGATGCCTGTGTTCTTTTAGCTGAGGCAGATGGGCAACAAGAGGAGGAGGTGGGGGTGGTTGTGAGGGAGGAGGTGACATTTGTAAATATGTCAAGGGACAATGAAAATTCACCACAAATGCAGTGGAACCTTTTAAATGATAAGATGAAATGATCTTTTATAAATGATGTGTAGATCTGGGAAGACAGCAATGGCATCAGTGAGTGTATTGATTCTTGACTATCTGTGGTTACAGTGGATGAAAATCAGCTCTAAGGAGTGGCAATTATTTTCAACCTCTTCCCATATAACACGATTTCAAGAGTTGCTAACAATTTATAAAATTAACTGTCGCTTTTCCCCTTTCCATAACAAACAACAAAAGAGCCAAATAGCAGGCAGCATCAGGAAGAAAAAAGTGTTGTAAATGCCTTGAGCTAAACCTACTGCTTCTCTTGGTAGTCTCCAAAGAACTGATCATTTTGTTGGCCTGATGTTTCTCTGGGGTTGATGCACATTTTGGATATACTCTCTAGTCAAGCCCCATAGACTACAGCAAGCACTCAAGACTTAAGCTCTAATTAAGCTAGGCCAAAGTCCCTTGTCACCTCCCCAAATCTCAATCAACTGGGAAGCTGCCTTCCTGGTACCAGACCCTGGTTCTTTCCTTCAAGCACCTTACCCCTTTGTCCAGTGGAACCTTCACGTCCATAGAGAGAGACCCTGTTTCCCCATTGATCATGGCTGTTCTCAGCTTCAAGAGGAAAGATAATGGTATTAGTTCCCTGGCTCACACTGGAGGGCGGAAGGCACTGAGCTTTATTGACCAGACTGGAGGTGATCCCTAGGAATAGTTTCAGTTCTTCCCTTTTTCCTTTAAGCAGAATACACAGGAGGGAACATAGATATGATTCTAGGTTCCACTCAGCTTATAGTTCCAGACATTCACCGAGATAATGCTCCCAAGTACACTGATGTATGAGAGAACATAGTGCCATATTACTGAGACACAATTTTTTCTGAATGAGCTATTGACCCCAAAAGTCAGAATGAAATACCACTGGAGCTCAGCCTCTGTGGTTTACAGACATGGCTCATTCAGCCTCAGCACCCCCTGGGATTCAGTAAGATACTGCTATGTTATTACAGCAGTAATACAGAACTTCTTCTGGTCTGGACTTGGAAAGCCTCCATGGGGAGGAACAGGGTGGTCTCAGAGCTCATGGCCCCACAGCTGGCCTGAGTACTGGCTGTAGAGCTACACCAGCTTCTATTTATCCTGCTTTCCCCACTCACGGTTTCAGCTCGGTCTTCCCACTCCACTTCAGAGAGATCCACGCTGTTGTAGTTAGGTTTGGGTTTGAGTTTCTTCCCGTCTCTGTACTGGAGTGGGCAGGTCATGAAGAAAGACATGAGGTTAAAACATAAGGCCCTGCTATAAAGCCTTACAGATATATTCATAAAATCAAAGAATCTCAGTGATTCTTTAAAGGTTATCTGGGTCAACCTTCCAGCTGATGCAGCATTTCCCTTCCCAACATTTGTGACAGATGGTCTCACGGCCTCTGAGTGAGTATTTCCCATGATGAGGAGCTCCCTATTTTGTGAGTCAGCCTGTTTTGGTTTTGGACAGCTCTAAATCGTTAGAAAGCTCTTCCCCATACAGAGCTGAAATCTGGCTCCTTGTTACTTTTACCCATTGGTCTTATTCTTTCCCTGGAGTTGCACATAATGTTTTCCACCTGACAACTCTTAAGGTTTGGAAGGTGCTTGTTACTCCTGACTTCACTTCTATAAGCTAAACATTCTCAGGTTGTAGATCCCTCAGGTCCCTCTGAATATGCTCTACTTTGTCCATGTCATTCCCAAAATGAAGTGCCCAGGACGAAAGTCAATATTTTAGATGGGGTTCTGACCAGTGTAGTGTGGGTGTGACCTGTGTGGACCAAAATATCGTATGGCTTTGACTGCTGCCTCTGATTCTACTGGATTTTCAGGGCAGCTACACTGCCCTAATGGCCCAAATAGAGTTTTCAGTCAGTTAAGTGCCCTTGGCCTTTCTCACATGGTACACTGTTAAATTGCATCTTTTCAATATTATGCTTGAGCATTGAATATTTTGCAGAACTTTCCATGCATCCTAATATATTCGTCTTGTTAGTTTCAGCCCATTGTTTATAATACTGCCTGAATACTAATTTCCTCCCTTAATGTATTATCCACACCTTCCAGACTTGGTGTCATCTGATTTCTATGTTTTCATCTTGTTGATTGAATTCTTGAATGGGACAAAGCCAAGGACAGGCAGATTCTACAGTGCCTAATAAAGACCTCCCTCCAGCTTGACATAGAGCCATTAATCAAGTCTTTGAATGTTGTTGTTTTTTCGCCCTGACTTCCACCTCTCCCTGCCACCCTCTCTCTGATACCAAGACAGATATTGTCAAGGTACCTGATACTAGGTTGGCAGCACTTCCCAGGTTTAGTTTAATAATAGATCAAAAAAGGAAACAGGATGGTTTATTGTCAGGGTAAATTAAGAATTAATCAGAGGGTCTACTTTTAGCAGAATGGGGCCCTGAAGATGCTTAAAAGACTGAAGTCCCCTATCACTGTGTATCTTGCTTCTGCCAGTGTTTTCTTTTTTCAAGAAAGTGTCACCTTATTTCTGGGAGATTTGCATGATAATGGCCCCAGTAGTATTCTTTCATTCTTCTCTTTTTCTCTGCACCCATGCTTGGATGATGCTTCTGTTCTTGGCCTTGGTGATGCTGTGCTTATAGCAAACAGCACTGCCCTGCCATATTTTACACCAGATCTGTTTCTTTTGAGTAAGGTGCAATACTCGTCATTCATTTCTATTTTCTAATTCCTGATGATACATGAAAGATCATCTTTAGCTCATTTTATTAAAACCACAGTACTACTTTGTGTAACTTGGAGCACAGACAGAGAGATTTCAGGCCAGAAGTATGGCTCTTGATCCACTTTCAGTTTATTACTAGGCAAATCCTCTATTATTTTTATTTTTTAAATTAACTGTTATTCTTCTTAATACCTACCACAAATTGATAGTGCTTTCCTTAGGAATCTCATCATGGTGGCTTTACATAATAATGTTTGTTATGTAATAATATTCTACATGCTATTTTTCTCTAATCGTTTCATTTGTTCAAGTCTATTTGTGTATACTCTATTTCCTTAATTAGATATAACCTTCTGTTTATAGTATTCTCAGAGTGTTATAAGGTCAGGCACCCAGTAGGTCCACAATATTAATTGATTGGTTGAAGTCTTATATTCATCTAGATTATATAGATGGTGACCAATGAGTTTCTGACCATTGCCCTTCAATTTTACAAGTCAGCTCCATGATTGACATATTATTTTTTTTTTCCTAGTGAATCATCTTATTGCCACTGGGAATGCTCCCTATAGAACCCACTGGTAGAGGTCAGTGACCCATTATGGGTTCAGATGCTTGCCCAGTAGAGTCTGAATTGGGAAGACAACATGGCTTCCAGTGTGCCCTGATCTCTACTATGAACTTCTATATTTTGCCTTAAATAGCTCAGTCAGTTGCTTTATGGACACTCAGTATCTATCTGAACCAAATTGAAATGGAATTTGGCTTAGAATGATTTCTTCAAGTGGTACCTGGGGCAGATGAGCCCCTTAGTAAGTTCTCACAAAGATGCTCTGCTTGGTATTGTCTTCAGCTGCCATTTCAATTTAGTGTGAGACTTTAAGGGGAAAGGGCTAAGGTTCCTGTAGGACTTAACTGCCTTCTTCCTACTTCCCTGAACAATCACACTGAAAGGTGTGGCCATTGTCATCAATAGCAGCCAAGTGCCCAGACCAGAGGCATCAGGGAGCCCCTAGCGCTGGAGGCAGAACTTTTAGATAGAATGATGCAACTTTTTTGGTCATCAGTTGTTCTGTTGAATGCATGTGCAAATGTTCCCAGCCCCATGCATCAGGATGGAGCGAGCTAGGAAGGAGGCAGGAGTGCTAAGGAACATATCATCCCAAGACAAACTCTGGGGAGCCTCAGCTTTACTGCCCCTCCCCCCCCACCTCTCATGAGACTCTTCCCTTGCCATTTTTATTGTTAACTCAATGTTCACACCCCCTTGAGGAGGGGGCAGTCCCTGGAGTTCTGCTGATACCACTGTAAGACTCCAAGAGGAGTGTGGAGCAACTGAGGCAGTGACAGGAATGTAAGTGGAAGCTTGTCCTTCAGGGAAAACTGCACATTTCATTATATGCTTTCTGGACTGTTCATTAATCAGTTCACCTATTTTTTTGTTTTGTCTTTCCTGCTAGATTACAAACAGTTTGAAGATGGAAACCATGACTTAAATTTTTTTTCTTATATTATCTATTGGGTTCTTAAATGGAGCCCAATGTATGTTCATTGTTTTAACTGATTTTATGAACTGTCCCCAAATCCCATATAGTTAAGATCCCAATGCAAGTAAGATCTGTACCTACCAGGGGTCGGAGGTCAGGATGTGAGAGAATGTAGCCATTGTTAGTGTTCAAAAAGGCATATCCATGCACTCCGAGCTGCCAAAACAACAGGGATTGAGGGGCGTCAGACCTGTTGTTTGGGCTGGAGAACTGGAGCTGGGTGAGGGTTGGATTGCAGGACTATTAAAGATGGCAGCTCACAGCAGTGAGTTTTTCAAATAAGAATATAACTGAGCCAGCGTCATGCTTCTAGCCATTGAGTCTGAATTCCTTTCTAAGTTTTAGTGTTTGTAGCAGCCACATTAATGCATATCATTACTCAGCCTCTTCCCCATCACATGCTGTATCTAGGTGCTTTGATGATTTAATCTCATTTGTTCCCCAAACAGGACTGCATGGCATGGAGGAGCAGATTGAAAACTGAGGCACCAGGAAGGGAAAGAACTTTCTGAAGCCCACAGAGCAAGTCAGAGCTGGTGGTGACACAGGGTCCCAGAAATCCAAACCACTGCCACCAGGCTCAGTGCCTGTACTTCTCTGTGGGGTGGGATTGAGGGGCCCCATCCCAGCTCTGGGCTTGGCTGCAATGCCTGCAAAAAGACTCCTGAGCCTGGTAGCACAGCTCCCAGGGAGCCTGTGACCCCCCACTCAGGCATCTGATCCAGGCTCACCTTGTACCGGGGTGCCAGTTTCATCAGCTCTCTCAGGGCCACATCAGAGCCCACCACACCCAGAAGAATGCCATGGGATCGCTGGAAAGAAAAATACCTGGTTCAGGGGAAGGCCAGGCTTCCCTGTGCACAGGGCTGGACTGGACCCTTGGCCTTCCCAGAACCTGGAAGATATAAGCCACTTCCTTATATGACCCTTCCTCTGCAGTTGGATTTTAGGCTGAGCTCTCTGGAATAAAAATCTAGAACCTACCGGAAGAGGCCCCAGGAGAAATCTCAGCTGCAGGGAAGATTAATTTCCAGTATTAATATTTAAATCATAATATTTAAAAGAAATACAAAGTTGAATAAAATATTAATTTTCATAGCAGAGGCTGAGTATCAGAATCTGAAGGACCATAATCTATGGATGCTCTGAACACACAAGGCCTATAAGGAAACATTTTCTGACCAGATAGAGGATGGAAGTTCTAGAAAGTCCTTTACCAGAGGCCTTTACAAATTAGAGGCTGTCCAAACTGGTAGGCTAAGTGTTGTTTTGCCAGAAAGTTGGCAGGTGACTTTTCTAGCCTTATATCCTCAGGACAGTGGTCCCACGTGCAGAGAAATAAGACAACCCCAAAATGACTAAGCAGAATCAAGGGGTGAGTTTGGGAAGTATGGACCCCACTCCACCTCCCACCCTCACTCCCCTCCCAACCAAGAGATTCTGATATAAATGGTTGGGCATAGGTCTTGGAATCTGAATATAAAACCCTTCTGAGGTGGTTCTGATGCCCATCCAATCAAGAACCATTGGTCTAATGATGCCAGCCAGGGACCCCAACTTTTAAAATCTTCTAGAACTTCTCAGAGAGCAGCCACTCACCGTTTCATTCTTCTTGCTGAAGACTGGCATGGCCACAGTGGTGAGGAGCATCAAGCTCTGTGCCTGTGAAGTGAATAACTGCCAGGGAGGAAAGAGCAAAGGACAGAGATCTCAGAGTCCATAGTGTGGAGGACCCACAGTCACCAATGTCAACTATCGCTGAAGTGTCACCTTCCAACAGGAAGACGAAACCACAAGTGAGGTTCCCCTTCTCTGCAAAAGGACAGCTGGCAGAAATGCTGGAGAGAGGTGGGCTGGAAAGGGGACCAGGCCAGTGTCTCTTAGCAACGATAGTCCTAAACCAGGACAAGTGTCAAAACTCCAGAGCCCACAACCCAGCTCCCAAACATGCTCATGAAGTACTCTTGTCTTGGCCATGCCAACGATGAGCATGAGCCATGGAAGGGGCACATCACACACATGCCCAGAAATCTCTGCTATGGATCCAAATGACAGCCCAGGGCAGTTAAGAGGGAGAAGGACATTGACACAGAGCCACCCACAAACACAAGCACATGCATGAGGAAGCATAGCTCAAGGGCAGGCATAGTTGTAGCTGACCTCAGGGTCACTCCCAACACACATGGGACAGACCCACAACCTCTTCGTCACTCAGAACACCAGAGCCACATCATTCCACACCTCCCAAATGGCCCTCCTCCCTGACTGCCTCATCTCATTGTGCAGCCTCCTTCAGCCTCCTTGGAAGGGGCTCTGCACAAGCACCCCACTTTATCATGAAGATAGGTCCTCACAGGTGGCATGCACAGGTATGTTTAATATGTGTGATCTTCATCAGGATCAACCAAAGGAGGGTGCTGAGCCATGGAAGTCTATAGTATACTTTCTTGGAGAATGAATAACTTTTAAAAAATTGAATATATTTGACATATAATATTGTGTAAACTTATGGTGTTGCTTTGATACATTTACATATTGTCACATGATTGCCATTGCAGTGATGTTATTTACATTACATAATTATAGTAAGATATTGTCTATATTCATTATACTATGCATAGATCATTAACCATCAAGTCTCTTCCCCTTCCTCATCTGATTTGTCACTTTAGAGTTTGGAAGTAAGGTTTTCTGAAAGTGAGTAGTTTCAGTTAACTAATGTTTTAGTAGCTACTGGAACCGGGAGGACCCTGGGGTTGACCAAGGGGATGCAAGAAGCAGCCTGGGTCCCTGATGACCAGGAAGCTCCTCATCAGCTCTGGGATGCCACCTCTAAAGTTCTTTTACATGAGAGAGAAGTACACTTTTCTCTTATTTCAGCCACTATGTTCAGGTCTCTCTCAATCCCAGTCTGAGACTACCACTGAAGCAGATGGCTATGTATGTGATATGATTTGAAAAGTGCCAGGAAGGTCCCTCTTGCCCCCACACATCTCATCTACTTTAGCTATCTATTCCTTTGTGTAAATCACTGCAACCCACAGGCAGTCTCTGAAAGTGCAGGAAGGGGAGCACCTGATGAAGCCATAGTATCTTGAATTACTGGTTGGCTGCCTTTCTTCCTGAAACAGGTAGGAGAGAAGAACAATGAGGAGGTGAGGACAATGGGAAGAAGTGGCACAAGTCTGGAGAAAAGGGGTTCTATCCATGGAGAATAGCCTTGGGCATGTCTGCTCACAGGGTTTCTGGGCCTCTGGGGGTAGCATACAATGGGTCTTCTAGTGGGCTGAAGGTATTCACCCCTTCACGCCATCTCCTGAGGAGGTGCTCTGCTCACCCCTCTCCTGAACCAGGAAGTTACCTATTACTCCCTGGGGCCCCTAACTCTGGAGCAGGGTCAGGCCCCCACCTTGCTGTCCATGTAGGCTTCTGTCCAGGTGATGTCATGGTCATGGTTGATGACCATGGGGCGGCTGAGCACGTGCAGGTACTCCATCACGTTCTCCTGTGCATCTGCCAGTGTGGAGATCTGTGTATAGTAGCCTGGCAGAGGAAAGGGTTGTGTGGTTGTGAAAAGCTTGGGGTTCAACTTGGAATCACTCTGCAGGGCCCACAAATGCTCCCCCAGCTGCTCTCAGCTTACAGGTTGGGCTCTCACTGGGAGCTGCCCTGGGCCACAGGGAACTACTTCCCCCAAGGTTGTGTCCTTTCCCGCAGGCAGCTGGAGGCCAGTGGTGCTGCCTTAATCTGGGAGAACTGTGGGGGGACCTCTCAGTCCAGAAATGCCACAGGAGCAGCAGGGGCCTTGTGGCTCTTTTATCCTCTCATGATTATGCCCTCCTCACTTCCTTACAGGGTCATCTCCCAAGAGCACCCCCTCCTGCAGGCAGCTCTGTATTGGGGTCCAGTCTAAGACAGTAGCTTGGTGTCCCCTAACCCCCTTATCTCTGACTACTGTCCTTCCTTGTTTACAGGGAGGGGTGCTATAGACTTTTGGTTGTAGCCACAGTGATATTTAAAAGAGCAAATGGCTTATAAGGCTCTGAATGCCTTAGTACATGTTTACCTGTCTGGTCTCATTGTGCATCACTTCCCACAAAACATTCATTCCACCCTCCAAAAAGTGAAACTGCTTTCCATTCCCAGCATGCTCTTATCTCAGACCCTTTGAACATGATCTTCACTCTCTCTGGAACACTCTTTAATGCTCTCTATGTTGGCTGACTCCTACTGTTCTCTATATCTCAGCATAGACACTTCTTCCTTTAGGAAGCCCTCCCTGCCACCTCCAAATGGGGGAAGTGCCTCTCCCATCACTCTCCCAGCCCCTGTAAGGTCTGTGCCCCTCTGCCCTTACAGTTTATATCACCACTGATGGCTGATTTGTCTGTTTGCTCTGCTGGACAGCAACAAGAGCAAGACTGAGTCCATCCTGACCACAATTTGGAAACTTTGCCAGGCATGACAGTACATTCTCAATAAACTTTGGTTGAATCAATAGGGACCAAGTTGGCATTGCACAGCCCAGATCTTTGGCTCTGGCCAGAGACAGATGAGGACTGCACCCAAAACATTATTCTAAAGAAAATTATGACCCTCTGCTTTGTCTAGAAGCAGAACCAGAGTAAATGGACTTAATTTGCAACAGAGGAATGGAGGCTAGACATCAGAAAGAACTGACATTTAAACTGTAGGTCTCACCCCTGCATCACTCTGTATTATGATTCATACAGGCTTTATTTGAAGAGAGAATTTTCTCTTCTGCAAACACTGGACAGATGACCTCTCAGTTTCATTTCAGTGACTTTATAAGTTAGAGTCCTGCAGGGGTAATCATGTATTTACTCAAGGTTTCCGGGGGCAATCTACATTTTGTCTAGATTTTTCCAAGTTAGAAGGAGGGGCAGATACTGTTATCTTGACACAGTACCTCTGTAAGGCCCCAATACAGGAGCCATGGCTTAGAACCTCCGATGACTGGGTGCAGGCTGCAAGCAGCTCTGCTCACACACCACCTACCTTTGTTGTTGCATGCAATCCACTTCATGCGGTCAGCAAAAGTCACTTCTCTTCCAATCAGATAAGTGAAAACTCGAACCTAATCCACAAGACACAGATGCACTCAGCAGACATAGATCCTGGCCATAAGTAGTGTTAATATTATTTATGTGAGTCTTGGATGTCAGGTCAAGCATTTTGCTGACTTTGAATTCTCCACTCTCATCCTTTTGACCAGAAAGGACCCTGAGGCCTAGGCAGCAATGGGACTTGCCAGGACCATGGTAATGTGAGCCAGGTATAGTGTGGAGGGTCACAGCCTGACAGTTTTCATCTGAACACCACATCTGGTCTCTCACCCAGAACACTCTCTCACATGAGTCCTCTGTGCCTAGGGTCACCATAATTTTGGAACACCTATCTGGGACATTTACCAATGTGTCTAATGGAGCAGGACATTTGAACTCAGGGCAGGCCTGGTTTTTCTGGGCACCACTGGTTATCCTATGCAGGCAGTAAGAGAACGCTTCCCTTGGCCCCTTCCCCTGCCCCCTTGACTTCCACCAGAAGGGTAACCTTGCGGTCAGGCCAGTTGTACTTCTCAAATACTGGCTCATAGTCTTCCACAGCCCCATCGGTGATTAGCATGATGGCCTGGTTGCAGAGGCTTCCTTGCCGGGCCTCTTGGAACTGTGTGGGGAAAGGACAGGTAACATGACTACAGCCCAACTGTCCCCCCCCACACTTCCACCCCATCTCCTAACCCTTTACTCTCCTGGAGCTTCACCAGGTGTCGGTACCTGCTTCAGGATCTGGAAGGCTTCAGTCAAGGCTTGGTTCACGACCCCCACACCCTTGACCATCAGCTCATCTACAAGCTGTTTGAAATGCTATCATGGGTAAGAAATTAGAGGAGAGTCAGTGGAATGATGGCCAAGGAACCTTCATCTGTGGTCTTAATTTCAGAGGCTGTTTAGAGCTATTTGCCCAGAACATGACTACAGGATCCATCTCTTCATGATCCAGCTAATTTCATGGCTGGACCCTACAACAGATGTTTCTTAAATGCCCCCAAGATAAACAGAAAGAGTGCAAGTGGCTAGGTGCAAACACATCCCCACTACTGGAAGGAAATGCCAAGTGTGAGCCCATCCAGAGCAGGGAGGACAGTTCAGGCAGACCTGCTGGGAACCAATTCCCAGATCCCCAGCATCCTCAGCACCCAGACCTACATAACCCAATGGTGAGCATTTCACAGAAGAAACCATGGAGGCCACCAGGGGCTCCAGTGTCCAACCCGAGGCTGGGATTCAAGAAGAAGCCAAACTCAAATTCTCCAGTCACAGAAAGAAGGATCTGTGACCTGCAAACTTTTCCTTTCAAAAAAGTTACCACATCCTCTCCTCCTTGGCCTTTGAGAAAGACTCAATCCAATGGGTTTGAACTTCTCTTCCTTTTGGGGAAGTTCTTCATGAGGACTGATACAGTGGAAAGACCCACAGAGGAGGCAAAGAGGGAAACTGAGTCATGGATAATCCACAGAGTGAAAAAGCAGTTCTGAATAAGTGAGATTTCCTTTGGATGGGAGGTCTCTCTTTGCTCACTATTCTGATAAGCAGGCAGCATATTTATGAGGCAATTTCTTGGGGGTATTTACATGGGTAACTGCTTTTCCCTCTTTCCAAGTGCAATGGGAATAAGTAAAGGGGGCCGTCAGGAAGTCTGTTCAGGTGACTGCCCACCATCCTAATCAAGCAGGGGTTCAGAAGCATCAGGCACTCACCTATGGTGGACACTCACCTCGCGATTGTCCCGATCTGCCTGGACAAGGATCCCTTTAAAACAAGGCTCGATGTAATGGATGTAGTCACTGTACTGTAGTTGCAGAGGGCAGAGGGGACAGAACAGATAGGATCAGTTTGGAAACTCAGGAAACTCACAGGCTAACTTGGCACCTGTGTAATATTATCTGGGAGTACCCTATGCTTCTGGCAGTTTTTCTGAGTAGAGAGAAGGGGGTACAGAGGACAGTGGGGCTTTAACTCTAAAAATTCTCCTCAAATCCTGGTCTTGGTCTTCTCAGATGGCTGAGTGATGTCCATCTCCTAGAATACACAGAGAACCTGAAGGCACTGAGAGAATTCCTTTGGTCTCCGCCCTTAGGACAAGACAAAGTGCCTTCCACAAGAATCCCAGAGCCTTCTAGTTCTTCTATGTTCTGACCCCTCCCCAATGCCTGGGTATAGGGATTAGGAACTGAATTCTTTTACCTTTTGTCTTGCATTTATGATCAAGATCCTCTAGCTGTCAACAGGGAATGGGAAGGGGGGAAATGAATGACTACTGCCCTCTTTTTATTAATCTCTCCATTTCCCTATAGTTAGAATTCAAATCTTGAAGATGTCTTTAATCTACTTCTGTTTAAATACAAGAGGGAGAGAAAGGGAGATGATGGTGACATGGTGGTAGGAGTGCAGGCAGATTATAGGGCAAGTGCTGGGGTGTTCTTGGGGAATGTAGGGAACAAATGTTTCTCCTGCCTCTCCTCCCCGAAAGCAGAAGGGTTGGGAGAAAGGTGGGGCAGGCTCTGCAGGAGGAGCACACTCCCACTCTTGTGGAAGACTGAGGCCTGTCCTTGTAACTGTCCTGTCACTGCTGCAGGTCATGTCTAGGGATGGAAAGGTGGTGGAGTTGGGGAGGGCGAGGTCCAGGGGTGGTGTGGGTGGGTAAATGATGCAGGCCTCAGGGGAGCAATTCAGAGATGGGGGAGGGGCCCTTCTTATGCCTACAGGATGAACATTTTGAAGTTAGACCATTTTGCCTTGGTATTTCTTTACTAGATATATAAATTCCATTGAAGACAAGCATTTTCAGCAATGTGACAGAATGATGGGGAAAGCTTTGGATCAGGTGCCTTCAAATTGATGCCCCCAAGGTGGCAGTCAACTCTGCCTCCTTGGAGGGCTGAACTGGTCTGCTCTTTCATTGCATTGAAAGCATTCTTCTGACTTGTTATCTTCCCATTTCTTTCTGCTTCATCCCTCTCCTTCATTATTTTTCTAGGACAGGAAGACCTATCCTGTCTAGAGCTATCCTCAGGAAGATTTGCCATGCAAGCAGGACCAAGGTCTGCTGGTCCCTTTCTAGCCCTCACTACCTACATTCCCCTTCTCCTAATGTGTCTGGATTTGGTGGGACGAAGAAGATGGGGGACTGGGAATGTAAAAAGCAAGAGCGCAGGGCTCACTCATCCTAAGCATAATGGAGAGGCTGTTCCAGTGATGGGTACCAGTCAAGAGCACATGGATGGGGGTGAGTTAAGTATCTGCTCAGGGAAAGTGTCTCTTAATTTTTATTCTCAGACTCATCTGAGAAATTGATGAAATCTGTGGAGTCAGAAAAGTGGATGCACACATTTTACACACAATTTCAGAAACTCTGTGGATCCCTTAAAGCCCATCCTTGGTCCAGTTTAGGTTAGAAGCCCCAGCTAGAAGAGAATCATTCTACAGTGCGAAGCATCAAGTGATTGTACGTATAGGTCATTCTAGTGCAGGCAGAAAGATTTTTTTTCTGGGGAGAGCTATTCTAGAATAGGAAGGCACATTTACCGCAATGATATTAACAAAATCATTCTCCCCCAGTGTGTCCAGGATGGTGGAGATGGTGTGCTTGGCGATAGTCATCCGCAGCCCCTTCATGCTGCCACTCGTATCCACTACAATCACTATGTCCTTGGGAGAAGTAGCAGCTTGTATATACCTTTAACGGAAAGAAAGCACAGGCCAATAATGGGAAAACTAAAGCCAGAACAGCCACCCAACTGAATCTCTTGTTATTTCTATTCAGATTGTGGCTCAGGTGTACCCAAGGTTCAGGGCAATGATCCATCAATGCTAGCTTTTATCATGTCCCATAACCACTCAGCACAGTTCTAAAGCCATTTTGGGGTCAAAAGTTGGGACTGTGCTCATCTAATGGACGTATCAGGTGGGAGGAAGGTTCAGTCCCGGTGGTAACCCTTGTCCTTTTTGTTTTGGACCAGCCAGGGTCCTGGAGGGACAGGCAGCAGGAAGGGAGAAAGCTGGATTTCACCCTCAGATTCCATTACAAATCTGCCAGAGGAGGGGTGTGAAGGGAGGGGAGAGTCTGGCAGAGGGTTGATTTGGAGACAGCTCAATGTGCTGGAAGGAGGTTTGGGGTAAGAAAGACAAATGTGATGAATCATAGAGCAAGGGCAGCTGCAGAGAAGGGAAATACAGCTGGCAACTCTTCCTGCTTTTGCATTGGGTTCAGGTTCTACACACCTGAGGCCCTTGGCTGGTGGTGGGGGTAGGGCAGTGACTGGAGGAGAACTGGGCAGAACCCAAAGGTTATAAGAGAGATACCAGCACCAGACACCGTTCCCCTGGAGCTCTTACCAGCCACGATTTCTGCAGTCAAAGGCAATGACTCCATTCTCATCAGGCGTCCATTTGATGCCTGGGGAAATAAGGGCTGGTTCTTTTACCAGCTCAATAAAGAGCACTCAGTAAAGAGCACAGAATGTCCAGTTTGGCCACCCTTAAGGCAGGGCCAGCAGTGGACCTGGACAGCAGATGTGGGACCACTAGATCACACCCTGTAAACTGAGGCAGCAGGCAAGGAGGAAGGGCAACTTATGGAGGGATACCTACCACCAACACTGCCCAGACCCAGAGTTGGGGTTACTTTTACAGGCCCCTCAAAATGTGATACCTGGGACCCATTTGTGACTGAACCTCACATCAAGTTGTAGAAGGGGAAGCTTGAAGGAGGTATGACAGTTAACATCCACTACCATCAGCAAAACATGGACAGAGCGATAAACAGCCAGGTACTCTGTTCTCTAGCTTACCCGCTTTACTCAGCTTAATTAAGATTGCTGGGAGAAGTGATTTGGCTATAAGACTGTAGGCTCCTTGAAGTCAAGGATTCCAGGGCCTAGTATAGTGTCTAACATAGTACCTAGCAGAGTTGATGCTCAATAAATGTTTGTTACTTGAATGAAAAATGAATGAATGAGTACGAAAGGTCTTACCTTGAGCACTCACAGAATGCTTTTGTCTTATTCATCTGATCAAAAACTTGGATAAATGTACACAATGCACAGATAACACTGACATGATCAATGATAGAATCTCTTTTGAAAGAGTTTAATGGTTGGGAATAGTGAGTTCAAAATAAGGAGATTAAAAATAACAGGTGAAAGTGTAGTTGGTTATGTTTGGGCTACAAAAAAGGTTGTGCCAGTATCACGAATGTCTAGAAGCTCCAAGGGATCATCCTTTTCCATAACAGACTTCAGATGAGGTACACCCTCTGAAGCATTGCTTGTCTCAAAGGTAGGAGATGTTTTCAGTGATCATGCCCCCAAAACCAAACAAGTGAAAGCCGAGTTTCAAGAGTGAGAGGCAGGGGCCCGGGCAGCCAGGAGCCAAGGCCTGGAAGGAAGAAACAGGACCAGAGCATGGTGGGAGCTTGAGTAACAATGGCTCTTATGTAGACCTGAAGGCAGCTGTGAGAAGTAGGGTTTCCCAAAGGACACATTCCTATAGCAGAAGCACAGGTGTGGGGAATCTGATCCTTAGAACAATAATGAGGAGGAGAAACTGTGTCTAAGGTTCTCAGTTCTGAACCAAAACCTTGGAAGAGGGGTTTAGTGGTCCTGGTGGGGGTACCCTCAACTCCAAGAAGAAACAGAAGTGGTGCTCTTGGGGGGAAGCTTGACTCTTGAAATGGTGTGGCCTCACAGGTAAAGATTACCAAAAACACAAGAAACAGGCAGTGTGAGTGAGAGGCAGCAGAAGCAAGAACTATCAGCTGTATCCTCCCAAGGATTACAGGTATTGAAACTACCAAATACAAAGTAGAAGATAGCTATGTTGGAGAAATCATCAGGAAGAATAAATAACAAGAAGTGATTAGGAACAAAGAAACAGCCTTAAGAATATGGAACATTTTTCTAAATGTTGAAAAAAATGCATAATGGATTATGCAGACAGAGGTCTGCATAAGAGAAAATCCATGCATTTGAAAGATTCCCCCAGAGACTAGAATGAGAAGGTCTAATATATATCTGGCTGGGGCTGTAGAAGGAGAAAAGGGAGAGCGCGAGGAAAGACAATGGTCACAGAACTGATGTTGGCAAATGCTCTAGGACTGAGAAACAGTCTGAATCCATAGATCTAGAAGGCACAGCATATCCCAAGCAGGATAAATAAGATATCCACATGTAGACACATAGTAGTGAAACCGCATAACTCCGAGGGTGAATACATACATACATACATACATACATACATACCTTGAAAACAGCCAGAAAAGCGAGAATGCTTACAAAGGAACAGCAGTTAAATTGATAGTAGATTTTCACAACATCAATGGAAGTCAGAAGACAGTAGAAACACAGTTTTAAGGTGTTGAGAGAAAATAATTGTGAATTTAGAAATGCATTCCCAGCCAAACAATCATTAAAGAATACAGCAGTTTTGATAGAGAACAACAGTGTTGTTTTCTGAAATCTGCTTGGGGGTTTCTAGCTCCTCTGTGCTATTTCTCAGGGGTGTGTCATCAAATGCAGGCTTAGTCACTCCTCTCCAAAAAAAAAAAAAAAAAAAAAAAAAAAAAAAAAAAAAAAAAAAAGACTTGGCCTTTTCTGTTTAAATGACATGACAACAGGAAATGATTTGTGTAACTCCTAAGAATAAAAAAGGATGAATTAAAAAGCAAAACAAAAAAGTGGGGATAAAATAAAGCGGTTATAGATAAACAAAGCAGGAGCAATTTACCACCAAGAGACCCACCAGAAAGGAACTTCTGGCATTTACTTCAAGAAGGAAAAGGATCTTGAAAAGACAGCTTGGGGTGCATGAAGGAATGGTGGGCAAATAAAATAGTAAACAAAGAGTCCATTCCAAATAGGCATGTCTGTCTCAAGTAACAGCATAGTATCTAATTTGTGGGGATCAAAAAAGGGATATATTACATGACAATAGAATGGAAGCCAAGGTGGGAGAAGTGGACGTAAGCACTAGTCCTAAAGCTCTTTTGTGACTGGAGGAAGAGTAAAAATATTATTTACTTTTAACATCATGTGTTAAGTATGCCTGATAAAATTTCAGGGGTAATTACTAAAAGAAACAGAAGGATAAGTTCTAAACTGATAGAAAAATAGAGAAGTAATGAGGGAAGGAGATATTTATCAAAAATGCCAATCTCTGAAAAAGACAAACAAAGGGGAAAGAGGAAACATAAAAATAGAAGGACCAATAAAAATTTTAAATATCATATAATAGCATGTTTACAAATTTCAATACAATAAATGTAAACAAGTTTAACTTGCCAACCAGTAAAAGACATTGTCAGTCTGGATAAAAATTGAAAAGCTATGAGCTATTTTCAAGACATATGATTAAAGGAAAATGACATAGATGGTTGGAAGTAAAAGGAGGCAAAAAATATGTATTACCCAAATACTAACCAAGAGCAAACTGGTATCACTCTGTGGATATGAGACAAAATAGATTTATAACAAAAAGTGTCAAAGGGGCTAAAGAGAGTCAAGCAGACATAAATCAGCAAAGAAATAGAAAATTTAAACAATGCAATTAACAAGCTTGATTACCAACATATGCAGAATTTTTCATCCAACAATTAGAGCACACATATTCTTCTCAAGCACATGTGGAATACTTATAAAGTTTGATGACGTACTTGATGGCATCTCAACTAACTTCACATAAATCAGTACCACATATGCCATGTTTTCTGAATACAAATAAATTGAATTAGAAATTTATAATAAAAAGATAAGTATATGTGGAGAAATGGGAACACTCTTGCACTGTTGGTGGGAATGTAAACTGGTGCAGCCACTCTGGAAAACAGTGTGGAGGTTCCTCAAAAAATTAAAAATAGATCTACCCTAGGACCCAATAGCACTGCTAGGAATTTACCTAAGGGATACAGGAGTGCTAATGCATAGGGGCACTTGTACCCCAATGTTTATAGCAGCACTTTCAACAATAGCCAAATTATAGAAAGAGCCTAAATGTCCATCAACTGATGAATGGATAAAGAAATTGTGGTTTATATACACAATGGAATACTACTTGGCAATGAGAAAGAATGAAATATGGCCTTTTGTAGCAACATGGATGGAAGTGGAGAGTGTTATGCTAAGTGAAATAAGTCATACAGAGAAAGACAGATACCATATGTTTTCACTCATATGTGGATCCTGAGAAACTTAACAGAAGACCATGGGGGAGGGGAAGGAAAAAAAAATTAGAGAGGGAGGGAGCCAAACCATAAGAGACTCAAAAACTGAGAACAATCTGAGGGTTGATGGGGGGTGGGAGGGAGGGGAGGGTGGGTGATGGGTACTGAAGAGGGCATATTTTGGGATGAGCACTGGGTGTTCTATGGAAACCAATTTGACAATAAATTTCATATTTAAAAAAGATAAGTATAAATACCTACATATTTAGAAATTTTATAAATTAAAAAAATTTTATATTATATATATATAGAGAGAGAGAATCCCAAATAAGCTCCATGCTAAGTATGGAGCCTGACATGGAGCTTGATCCCATGACCCCATGATCATGACCTGAGCTGAAATTGAGAGTGGAATGCTCAACTGACTGAGTCACACAGGCACCCTTATAATATGCTTTAAAATAACTAAAAGATCAAAGAAGAAATCGCAAGGAAATTTAACAATATTTAGAAGCAAATGATAATTTAAACACTACCATAACACCCAAAACACAGGCAATAACTTCTGTGTATGAGAGGACACAATCAATAGAGTGAAAAGAGAACCACAGAATGGAAGATATCTGCAAATTATTTATCTGATAAGAGGTTAATATCTACCAAATATAAAGAACTACAACTAAAGAACAACAAAAGCAAACAATCCAATTCAAAAATAGGCAAAGGACTTGAACAGACATTTTTCCAAAGAAGACACACAATGGCCAATAAGCAGGTGGGAAGATGCTCACCATCCCTAATCATTAAGAAAATGCAAATTGAAACCATGATGAAATACCACTCATATCCTTAAGATGGCTACTCTCAATTTTTTTTTTTCACATGACAAGGATGGGGAGGAATTGGAACCCTTATGCACTTGGTAGAAATGTAAAATGGTATAGTTACTATGGAAAACAGTTTGGATGTTCCTCCAAAAATTGAAAACAGAATTGCTATATGACCCAGGAATTCCACCTCTCAGGACATACCCAAAATAATCAAAACCAGGGTCTCAAGCAGGTATTTGTACATCTCTGTTCATAGTAGTATTATCCACAATAGCTAAAATGTAGAAGCAGCAGCTCAAGTGTCCATCTTCAGATGAATGAGTAAATAAAATGTAATCTATCATACAATGAAATATTATTCAGCCTTATAAAGGATGGAGATTCTGACACATGTTACAACATGGATGAATCTAGAGGGCATTACACTAAGTTAAATAAGCCAGGCATAAAAAGACGAATATTGTAGGATTCCACTTATACAAGATACTTAGAGTAGTCAAATTCAGAGAGATAGAAAGAAGAATGGTGGTTGCCAGAGGCTGAGAGGAAAAAGGGACGGTGAGTTATTTTTTTGAATTGGTAGAGTTCCAATCTTGTAAGATTAAGACAGCTCTGGAGATGGATGGTGGTGATAGTTGCAAAATATTATGAATGTACTTAATGCCACTGAATCATACACTTAAAGGTAGGTAGGATGGACTAGTACAAATAATACTAACATTTGTATGGAACAGCAAAAGACCCCCCCAAATCGCAAAGCAATCTTGAGAAAGAACAAGGCTGGAAGAATCAATTGCTCTGATTTCAAACTATACTACAAAGCTATAGTAACCAAAACAGTATGGCATTGACACAAAATAGACATATAGATCAATGGAATAGGACGGAGAGCCCAGAAATAAATTCACAATTATATAGTTAATTAATCTACAATAAAGGAAGCAAGAACATACAATGGGGAAAAGATGATTTCTTCAATAAATGGTGCTGGGAAAGCTGGACAGATAAGTGCAAAAGAGTGAAGCCAGACCACTTTCTTACACCATATAAAAAAATAAACTCAAAATAAATTCAATACCTAAATGTAAGACCTAAAACCATAAAATTCCTAGAAGAAAACATAGGCAATAAGTTCGTCAGTCTTAACAATATTTTTTTTGGATAGGTCTCCTCAGCAAGGCAACAAAAATAAAAATAAAACGGGACTATATCAGGACACCTGGGTGGTTCAGTTGGTTGAGTGTCCAACTCTTGATTTCAGCTCAGGTCATGATCCCAGGGTCATGGGATCAAGCTCCGCATTGGGCTCTGCACTGAGCATAGAGCCTACTTGAAATTCTCCCTCATCCTTTCCCTCTGCCCCTCTCTCCAACTTGGGCTCACCTGTGGTCCTTCTATCTCTAAAATAAAAAAATAAGAATAAAAATGGGACTACATCAAACTAAAAAAATTTTTCAGTGAAGGAAATCATCAACAAAAGGCAACCTACTAAATGAGAGAAGATATTTGCAAGTGATATATAGTAAGGAGTTGATATCCAAAATATATCAAAACACTCATAAAATTCAACAAAAAAACCAACGTGATTAAAAAATGTGCGGAGGACTTGAACAGACATTTTTCCAAAGAGATGCCCAATCGACACATGAAAAGATGCTCAACATCACTAATTATCTGGGAAATGCAAATAAAAACCATAGTAAGATACCACCTCACACCTGCCAGAATAACCATTATCAAAAAGACAAGAAATAACAAGTGCTGGTAAGAATATGGAGAAAAGGGAACCCTTATGCACTCTTGGCAAGGAATGTAAATAGGTGCAGCTACTCTGGAAGACAGTATGGAGGCTCCTCAAAAAATTAAAAACAGGACTACCATACAATCCAGCAATTCCACATCTAGATACTTATTTGAAGAAAATAAAATGCTAATTTGAAAAGATTTATGCACCCCTATTTTCATTGCAGCACTCTTCACAATAGTCAAGATATGGAAGCAACCCAAGTGTTCATCAATATGTGAATGGATAATGAAGATGTGGTGTATATGTACAATAGGATAGTACTCAGCCATAAAAAGAATGAAATCTTGCCATTTGCAAAGACATGGATGGAGCTAGAGAGCATTATGCTAAGTGAAATAAGTCAGAGAAAAACAAATACCATATATGTGGAATCTAAAAACAAATGAACAAACAAAAACCAGAAAAAGACTCATAGATACAGAGAACAAACTGGTGGTTGCCAGAGGGAAGGGGTTGGGAAATGGGCAAAAGAGGTGAAGGGGATTGAGAGGTACAAAGTTCCAATTATAAAATAAATAAGTCACAAGTATGTAATGTACAACATAGGGAATATAGTCAATAATATTGTAATAACTTTGTATAGTAACAGAGGGTAACTAGACCTTTCTAGGTGATCATTTCATAATGTATAAAAATATCAAATCATTATGTTGTATGCCTGAAACTAGTATAATATATATCAATCATAATTCCATTTTATAAGTTAGGGTGGCACATTTTATGTTATATGTATTTTACCATGATTAAAAATTTTAAAAACCACTACTAACTGCACCTGTGAGATGCAGCAAAAGTGGAGCTTCTAGGGCCAAGGTATTGCCATAAATGCTTATTTTAGACATAAAGAAAGGCTTAAAATTAAAGCTAAGTGTCCAATTTAATAAGTTAGAAAGAAGAACAGTAGAACACACTCAAGGAAAGGGAAAAGAGGAGATAAGCTCAGAGCTGAAACAGATGACTTGGAGAACAAAGATGCAATAGAGAGCAGTCCACGAAGACAAAAGATGATTCCTACCTAACAAAATAGAGAAACCAGTGGCAGGATAATGAAGAAAAAAATGAGTAATACTATAGATAAAAGGGGACACAATTATAGATACAGCAGGGATTAAAAAGATGATAGAATAATAGCTTCCTGGAAATAGTTTTGAAAACCCAGATGAAAGGGATAGATTCTTAGAAAAAGAATTTTACCAAAGTAAGAAGAAATAGAAAATCTTATGAGTCTTGCAAGTATTAAATATATTGAAGTGGTAATTTGAAATATCCCCATAAAGAAAACATCAGGTCTATATGGTTTTATAGATGAATCCTAACAAACTTTTCAAGGAAAGGATCAGTCTAACTTATTTAAATACTTCTAAGAACCAGAAAAAGAGGGAATACTTCCCAGTTTATTTTTTGAAGCTACTATAATTTTGAAAACCAAAGACAGTATAAGAAAAAAATTTACAAGACCATTTCACTCATGAGTGCAAAAAAATCCCAAACAAGATCATTAATAAACTAAATCCAGCAATGCACAAAAGACTAATTTACTATGATCAAGTTATGTTTTCATATCAATGTAAGGATGGATTAACATTGGAAAAGTCAATAGATAATTAGACAAATGCCATAATAGGCATTCACAGAAGAAGAAATACATACAATACATGACATATGAAGAAAGAGATACTCAGCTTCACAACTGATCAGCCAAATGCAATGCCAGACCAGTGAAATACCATTTTATACTAAAGGGTTATTAACAAAATCTTTTAATGTTTAACAATACCCAGGATTTCAGAAAATGTGGGTCAACAGACTCTCTTATTCATGACTGGTGGGAATATAATTGGTACAAGTATTTTGGAGAACAATTTTGCACTTTCTTGTCATAGTTGAACAGTCACATATCTCATAACCTAGCAATTCCATTCCTAGGTACATACCCAAGAGAAATTCTCAGAATATGTCTCAGGAGACATGTATAAGAACATTCATAGCAACACTGTTCTTAAAAGGAAAAAAAAACAGAGAAGAAAAACAAAAAATTGCAAACAACCCAGATAGGATCAGGAGGATGAATAAACTGCCATATTGGCCCACAAGAATATGATATAGAAAAAAATGACAAAGTACATATGTGACATATGTGACAGCCCAGATGAATCTTGCTAGTATAATACTGAATGAAAAAGCAAACTCTGAAAGTCTATACTCAAAACCAGTTTAATAAATTTTAAAAACAAGCAAAACAAAACAATATATTGTTTAGGGAGATGTCTGTGTGTTTGTAAAAATGATATAAAACTAAGCAGAGAGCCAAAAAAGTCAAATAGAGGGATAAGTTCAAAGTGGAGAATAGTTGTTACCTGGTCAGTTGAAGGGGGTGAAATCAGGGAGAAGTCAGAGGGGCAGAGGCCAGAGGAGGAGCACATAAGTAAATATAGGTTTGGTAACATTCTAGTTTTTGTGTTGGTGATGTAAATACAAGCATTCACTGTATTATAAATAAAAATAAAAAAACACAGAAATAGGCCTGCATGGACCCATGAGAACAGTGTACCATGACCGTGGATTATGGTCACCCCAATACTGTGCACCTAAGGGCTGATATATATCTATAAATGTGGGTGTGGATGTGAGAAGTTGCCCTCCCCTCTTCATAGACTGATGGGCCATATCTGGACTGTTTTGTCTGCACACAAGTTGATGTCTCTGGATGTGGCAGAAATGTGCAGGAATTGGACCCTGAAGAAGACCTGAGGGACATGTGAGTTGTCTTCAAGCATTTTAAGGGCTGTTCTAAGGAAGAGGGATGAGCTTGCTTGTTGAGGCTGCAGAGAGCAGAGAAAGAAAGTGACTGGTTGTGGATTTGGGCAGAGAAACAGGGGCATGCTAAAACCCTGTGTGTGAGTTCTAAGAGCCCTGTGTCTTTCTGCAGAAGAATTAGCTTTTCCAGCCTGGGGACACAGAAGGGTCTTTTAGGACTTCTGATTTCCTATCTCAGAAAAACAGGGCAACTTCAAGACTTTCAGGAGTGTGCTAAAATATAAAAATGGGTTGGAGTAAAATGCAAACCTTGTGGTAGATGTTTCTGTTTTCTACTTTTATTGATGGACAAGGGACTTTTCATCTATTAAGTCCATCTTAATAGATGGACTGTGCCACTAATCACATACTAACTGGTGGCACTTTGTGCATTGCTGTTGAAAACTTCAAGTGAATATGCTCCATTTCTCCAATTAGAATGTAAACTCCTTAAGATCCAGAATTGTTTTATCTTCCTTTGCATTTTCCACAGTGATTTTCATAGGACAAGAGTTTAATGTGGGCATTTTGTGATTAGTTACCATGGTGTTTGATAGTTTCATTCATTCATTCATTCATTCATTCAACAGCTATTTATTGTAAATGTGCTTATCATGTTGTGAAGGGTGTCAAAATGTGGTTTGGAGATGCTTTTGGACAGGAGGGGCGTCCATTCACTGGGGGTCTGAGTGCCAGGGCCCATCTTCAATGTCTTTATTGCCTTTGTCCCAGAAAAGCTCAGAAGACCATGGAGATGCCTCCTGATATCCCTACCTGGATAGATCCTGAAGAATCCAGTGGAGCTGCCAAAATATTGCCATGTCAGTGTCGGGTCTCTTTGGAAATTCTCCACAAAAACCGTGTTCAAAGCTTCAGACATGTAGACTCCATTTAAAATGTCTGGGTCTAAAAGTTGAAATTATAGAAAGAACTGCAGAGAAACTAAATCAGAAGAAACAGTGACCATCTTTTACCTGCCAAACACACACGCAGCCTGCAGAGCTGTAGTTTACAACTTTCTGCTACGTTGCATTTGGCGAGCCACACTCACACCCTCTAATCCAGGAATGCTGAGTTTTCTTCCAGCCGAAACTGGCGTAGAATACTTTTTCTTGTTCTCCCCAGTCAAGGAAGTTGGAGAATCAGATTACACTCCTCAAGTCTTCTCAGGAAAATGGAGGCAAATCTTTAAAACTCACCAGTACCACCTAACAACTACAAACTGTTAAGAGAGAGTGCCAGGTTGCGGGGTGGGGCAAAGGAGCTACCTTTGTTGTACACGTTCGTGGGCAGCTGCACGCTGCTGATGGAGGTGTTCACCATCAGGTTGCTGAAGTGCGCATTGGATTCAAGGACAAACTCAGCCCCCAGCTCCACGTAATTGCCATTCTCATCCCTCTCGTTGATCAGGACAGAGTTGTAATAGTTAAACTAGGGGTGGAGGGAAAATAGCAGCACAGAGACAGTGTGGACACAAGAGACATACAAGGTGAGAAAGAGAAAGAGAAATGGCACAGATCAGAGCACTCAGATGTGAGAGGTGGGGTCCGACGGGCTGACAGCATCCATACAAGCAACATCCATGGACAACTGAGGCAGTGACCTGTATTACACATTTGGACAAATACAGATCCCAGACAGTTGGAGAGCATGGTTGATTCACTTGGTTTTTGATGTAAGTTGTCTAGATTACTGCCTCAGTTCTCCACTTTGTTTGTCATGTGTGGGCATGACCAGATCAGAGCCAGAGACGGGTAGGTAGAGGTCCAAGGTGAAGTAAAGAGACAGGGGCAGCCTCATGGGCACCATCAATTTTCTTCCAGTGTAGGAGGGCTCCTAGGAACCCAGAGTGGTGGGTCCTGAGAGGTGAGGCTTCTCTCTTTAGAAAACAGCCTTCAGCCTGGGCCCGAGGCAGGGTCTGTGGCCCCCGTGTCCCTCTGAGGAGCCAGCAGTGTGCTCTCTGCCTCTAGCATGTAGTGTTAAAGGGTCTACTTGGAATACCACACTTAGAGCCGTGATCAGACCTACCCCACTCCCTCCACACCACCTGGTTCACATCTTGAACAGCCCCCTCAGGGCACCCTATGTCTTGCCCCACACCACAATACTGCTGACTGCAAGAGCTTTCTTTCTTTCTTTCTTTCTTTCTTTCTTTCTTTCTTTCTTTCTTTCTTTCTTTTTTTACAATCAAGAATTTATTTAAGTTTTCATCATTTTTTTAGAAATAAAAAGGTCTAAGGACAGATTTGCTTTTTAAAGAAAAAAAGTTGCAAAAATGAAAAAATGATAAAATGTAGTTTTGTTATATCCTAATTGCTTAAGTGTGCTCTGTAAATTCCAAATAAGTAAAATAATATAAAAAATATTTTCAAATCTTTATAGAATGAAAAGAAAACCACAATCATTAAATACTCTTGGATTTCCTTTACTCCTCCCACAGATGAATTCACAAATATATAAAAACTGACATACATTTATCCTCCTGCTGGTGTTGATCCTATTATCTGGGAACAAGCCAAGGTGAATAACCCTGATTCTGAAAAGTTAATTCCGGTACTCATGGTGGGTTTCAAAAAACTTCTTGGAAGACTGAAGTTTCAAGATCAGATGACTAAGCAACAGCAGACCAGATTAGATATCATATCTGAAGATTAGCGAATTACAGAAGAATCAAACCACAACTATGGCCAAAATTGCACAATACAAGAGGAAACTCATGGACCTTTCCCATAGAACTTTACAGGTTCTAATCAAACAGGAAATTCAGAGAAAGAGTGGGTATGCCATTCAAGCTGATGAAGAGCAGTTGGGAGTTCAGCTAGATACAATTCAGTGTGAACTGAATGCACCTACCCAGTTTAAGGGCCGACTAAATGAACTGATGTCCCAAATCAGGATGAAGAATCATTTTGGTACAAGAGCTTTCTAAAGCACAAATCCAGCTGTGTCCCTCCCCTGCTCAAACCCTTCAGTCTGTGACATTCCAGGCTGAGTTGAGGCCAGATTCCTATCTGTCCACAGTCACTTTCTACTTCACCATCCCCTGGACATACAGAACTGACCATTCACAATTTCCTCTATCTTGTGTTTTCCTATTTCAGTGACTTTTCTTTTCCCTCAGCTTCTCCATGGCTTTCCTGTTCAAATCCCACTCAGCCTGAGGCTGGTCCTAATGCCACCCTGTCTGCAGGACTTTCTGAGCCTCTACTCCTTCCCTTCTGCATTCTTGTAACTCTGTTAACCAACTCTTATGGACTTGTTACATATGCCTCATGCTAGAGTTATTTGGTCTATGAGCTTCTTGACTTTTTATCTATCCAGAGGCTAGCACATGGTGGTTGGGCAAAAAATGTTTATGGAATGGGTGGATTGTCCCTCTATGTCCCCTGCCCCCCCAAGTCTTGAAAATTTTCTCTCCTATCTGGTCCATAAATCTCTTCTGAAAAGACTGGAGAGTATTTCAGAATCAAGCTATTACATGGTCATACATATCCTATGCACATTAAAAGATGGTGCTGGACTGTCTACCTTCCCCCACCCCTCTGTATCTTATACCCAAGGGACCCTGGCTCTTGGTGGGGGTTTAGTGATTAGTCATCATACCCTCCCAGCAGCAGCTCTGGGAGCAGGACTCACCACCAGCGATTCATTGAATTCATGGTTCAGGTCAGCCTCCTCAGCAGCCTCTACCAGATTCTGAAGGATGGAAACACAAAGGGGAGAATGAATGGGCAAAACAAGGCCAGTAGGTCTTCAACAATTTCTACTCCTAAGAATATACCCAAGAGAACTGAAAATAGGTACTCAAACACTAACCTGTGCACAAATGTTTGTAGCAGCACTATTCACAATAGCCAAAAGGTAAATGCATATTATTAAGTGAAAGATGCCAGTCTGAAGAGGTTACTTGCTGCATTCCAACTACGTGACATTATGACATTATGGAAAAGAAAAACTATGGACACAGTAAAAAGATCAGTGTTAGCCAGAGGTTTGGGAGAGGGAGAGATGAATAGGCAGAAAACATACAATTTTTTAGGGCAGTGAAGCTATTCTGTATGACCTATAATAAGCTAAGTGAAAGACTCCAGATATAGAAAGTTACATACTATATGATTCCATTTTTGTGAAATATTCAAATGGAAAATCTATTGACAAAAAGCAGATTAGTGGTTTCTGAGAGCTGGGAAGTGAGAGTGACTGCTTAATGGGTATAGGGTTTCAGTCTGGAAGTGATGAAAAGTTCTGGAACTCGGTGGTGATCGGAGTTGCATAGATGCATAGAGTGTATTTAATGCCACAGGATTGTACATTTTAAAATGGTAAAAATAGTAAATTTTATATTATGTGTATTTACCATAATTTTTTTAAAGAAGGATGTCAGCATTACAGAACATGATGGGAAGTAAGGAAATTAAAGAAGACACAGATAATGGAAAGATCCCTTTTTATGGATTGGATGAATTAATATTGTTAAAAGGTCCATACTACTCAAAGCAGTCTACAAATTCAGTGCAACCCCTATCAAAATCCCAATATCATTCTTTACAGAAACAGAAAAAAAAAACCACCGTAAAATTCATGTGGAACCACAAAAGACCATGAATAGCCAAAAACAATGTTGGGTAAGGAGAACAAAGCTGGAGGCATCACACTTCCTGATTTCAAAATATATTACAAAACTACAATAATCAAAACAGTTGGTATTGGCAGAAAAAACATATAGACAAATGAAATAATTTGAGAATAGAGAGCCCAGAAATAAATCCATACATTTATTTAAAAAATTTTTTTAAATGTTTTATTTATTTATTTTGGAGAGAGAGAGAGAGCGCATAAGCTCAGGAGAGGGGCAGAGAGAGAGGGAGACACAGATTCCAAAGCAGGCTCCAGGCTGCCTGACACAGAGCTCAAACTCACAAACTGTGAGATCATGATCTGAGCTGAAGTCAGACACTTAATACACATGCACCTCTAATCCAGCATTTAAAACAACTGATCTTGAAGGGTGCTAAGTACACACAATGGTGAAAAGAATAGTCTGTTCAATAGATGGTGTTAGGAAAATTGAATATTCACACGCAGAAGAATTAAACTGGATCCTTATCTTATACCAAATACAAAAATCAACTCAAAATAAAGACTTAAATGCAAGACCTGAAATTATAAAATTACTAGAAAGCATAGAGAAAAAGTTTCTTGTCACTGGTCTTTTGGGGGAGCGTGTGACACCCAAAACACAGACAAAAAGCAAAAATAGAAAGGGGATTGCATCAAACCAGAAAGCTTCTGCACAGCAAAGGAAACAATCAACAGAGTGAACCTATGGTTGGCAAAACTGGAGAGCTACATGCAAAAGAATGAAACTGGACCACTTACTTACATTATACACAAAAATAAACTCAAAATGGATTAAAGACCTAAATGTGAGGCCTGAAACTATAAAATTCCTAGAAGAAAACACAGGGAATAATTTCTTTGACATTCACCATACAAACATTTTTCTAGATAGGTCTCCTCTGGCAAGTGAAACAAAAGCAAAATTAAACTATTGGGACCACACTAAAATAAAAGGCTTTGCACAGTGAAGGAAACCATCAACAAAACAAAAAGGCAACCTACCAAATGGGAAAGATATTTGCAAATGATATCTGATAAGGGCTTAATATCCAAAATATATAAAGAATTTATACAAGGCAACAGAAAAAAACCCCAAATAATACAGTTAAAAATGGGCAGAAGAACTGCATAGACATTTTTCCAAAGAAGACATACAGATGGGCAACAGACACATGAAAAGATGCTCAACATTACTAATAATCAGGAAAATGCAGGCTAAAACCACAATGAGATATATCTTTGTACCTGTCAGAATGGCTAAAATAAAAAACACAAGAAATAACAAGTACTGATGAGGATGTGGCGAGAAGGGAACTCTTGTGCACTGGTGGTGGGAGTGTAAACTGGTGCAGCCATTGTGGAAAATAGTATGGAGATTCCTCAGAAAATTAAAAATAAAATTACCAGATGATTTAGTAATTCCACTACTGGGTATTTACCAAAAGAAAATAAAGACACTAATTCATCACCACCATCCACCTCCAGAACTCAAAAAAGAAAAGAAAAGAAAAGAAAAACACTAATTCAAAATGATATATGCATTCCTAGGTTTATTACAGCATTACTTACAATAGCCAAGATATGGAAGCAACCCAAGTGTCCACTGATAGATGAATAGATAAAGAAGATGTGGTGTATGTACAATGGAATATTAGTCATAAAAAAGAATGAAATCTTGCCATTTGCAACAACATGGATGGACTTAGAGGGTATAATACCAAGTGATATAAGTCAGAGAAAGACAAATACCATATGATTTTACTCATATGTGGAATTTCAGAAACAAAGCAAACAAACAAAAAAAGAAACCAACAACAACAACAAAAGGCTATTAACTATAGGAAACAAACTGACGGTTACCAGAGGGGAGGTGAGTGGGGGATGGGTAAAATAGGTGAAGGGGATTAAGAGTGTACAACTTGATGAGCACTGAGTAATGTTAAAAAAAAAAAAAAAGTCAAAGGACCTGAATAGACGTTCCCCAAAGAAGACATACAAATGAGCAACAGATATATGAAAAGGTACTCAATTTCACAAATCTTCAGGGAAATGCAAATCAAAACCACAAATGAGATACCACTGCATACCTGTTAGAAGGCTGTTATTAGAAAGACATAAGATAACAAGTGTTGGTGAGGCTGCGGAGAAAAGAGAATCCCTGCGTTGTTGGTGGGAATATAAATTGGTACTACCATATGGAAAACAGCATGGACATTCCCCAAAAACTTAAAAATAGAACTATCATATGATCCAGCAATCCCACTTCTGAGTACATATCAAAGTAAATGAAATCAGGATCTCAAAAAGATATCTGCACTCCCATTTCACTGAAGATAATACCAATAATAGGGAAACAACCTAAATGTTAGTCAACCATGATCTCTCTCTCTCTCTCTCTCTCTCTCTCTCTCTCTCTCTCTCTATTCTATCTTTATTCAGCCTTAAAGGAAAACCGTTCTACTTGCAACAACATGGGTAAACTTGAAAGACATTATGCTAAGTGAAATAAGCTAGATACAGAAAGACAAATATTGTATAATATCATTTATATGTGGAATCTAAACTAATCAAACTCATAGAAACAATTACCAAGAGCTGATGGGGGAAAGGCAAAATGGGGAGATGTTGGTCAAAGGGTAGAAAGTTTCAGTTATGCAAGATAAATAAGTTGTAGAGAACTGATGTACAGCAATATGACTTTAGTTGGCAGTTTTGAATGTTGGCATTCTTGAGGTTTGCTAAGAGGGTAGATCTTGGGTGTTCTCATCACACATAAATAAATAAAGGAAGGCAGGCAAGGAGGCAGAAAGGGAGGGAAGGAGGAAGGGAGAAAGGAAAAGTGCGAGGTATGGATGTTGGTTGGCTTGGTTGAGGTGAATATTTCACAATGTATATGTATATTATTGGGTAATCAGGTTGCACACCTTAAATATACATAATTTTTGATTGTCAATTATACCTCAATAAACCTGGGGAATAAAAAAGACTTGAGCTCCTATTCTGGCTTTTTTAGGGGGCAAGTTACTAAGCCTCTCTGGGTCTCTATTCATATAGCTGTATATTGGGTCAAATAATTCAAGCACCAAATCCTAGGATGTGATGAAGAAATTCCACAGGGCATCCCCATGGAAGGGCCCAACGTCTGTGCCCAGAGAGATGTTTTAAACAACACTGAAGATGGAAGGAGGCAAGCGTTACTGCCCACGTTGGTTGTATGTGAGGTCACTGTCCCCCTACTGTCCAGGATGGGCTTTCCAGTCCCCAAGTAATTTCTCTGATGCTGAGATCCCTTGCCCCTAAGCTATAGAAAAGAGGCTGCAAATTGTCACTTGTGGGAAAGAAGTTCTCAGTGACTTTGACACTGATGCTTCCCAGGCAGTGGGCTTTGATGGGGATGTGCGGAGCCGGGCAGGACCCTGGTCAGGCTGCAGCTTGCTTTGTCAGCACTGCCAGATCTCTCCCTAACCCCTGTCCTCAGCCTCTCCTGCACAACCTACCACCCAGCTCCATCTCCTCTCTCCTTGTTTTCCTGGCTCCCCAAAGGGAGTCCTTTTGGGGATAACACTGGTTTTGAATGGCCAGATGTCTGGATGGGTGGATCAGGAACTATGTCTCTCCAAGCAGCCAAGTCCCCACAGATATCAGGGCAGTCCCTTCATGCTAGGGAAGGGACACATTCTGTTTCTAGCAGGGCCAAGCCAGGCTTGGTGGATGTGCAGTGAGGGAATCACCTGTGCATGAGGCCCAGCACTATAAGTACTTCTGCTGCCTGGATGGCCCTCTGAGCACTCGAGAGCCATGGCGGATGGGTTGGCATACAGAAGAGGAGAAGGTGGGGGGAGGAGTAGGGGAAGGAGAAAAGGGGAGAGGACAGAAGGGAGAGGAGATGAGGGAGCTTCACTTTTTGAGCTCTCCATCTAGCTATATTCCCTCCCACCCACTAGCCATCCAGCCATCCACCTGTTCATTCAGCAGCTGACTCCTAAGCCCTCACTCTGTACCTGCTCTTTGCCAGTCTCTGAACGTGAGATTGTGATGTGGAGTCCCTCCTAACACTGTAGATTGATCCTATTGTATTGGACATTGTTCCCTAAGGCAGAACTCAAATCTCAGGCCCCTTCTCGCTCCCCTTGCTTGCCATCATTTTCTCCGTTACAAGGATCTTTAGGCTCATGGGGATACAAAGCAGACACTCATAAGGTAGGAAGAGGATGGTGTGGGAAAGAGGATTCAGGGCCACAACACTGAGTGTCATTTTGGTGTCATGGGCGCTGGGGTGGAACCCCCACAAATCATAGGACCTGGAGTACCTTGACAGCCTCCACCTTCCTGCGTAGCATGGTTTCCATGTCCTCTGAGAACTTCCTCACCAGCTCCAAGCCATCCACCTCCTTGATCCTCAGACTGGATTCCACATCCTTGTATTTCTGTGTAGGGGAAGTGGGAGAGATGGGCATCTGTGGTCTTGTACATGATTATGTGTGGCCTCCAACCTCCCAACTAGTGTATTCACACCTGTGAAGTCTTGTTGACTGGACTAGAGGCAAGGACAGGCCCTCCCCTTCTTGTATAATCTCCCCCACTAACATTAATAGTTGTCTCTTATCAAATGTCCTCTCTGTTCCAGGAACTCTGGAGATGTTGTGGTTAATATCCTTAAAAGGGAGTAGACCGAGGCTCAGAGAGGTCAACAAACTTGGCCAAGGTCACACAGCTAGTGAATGGAGAACCTCATCCTGGAATTCTGGAGAGCGCCCAGAATTCCATGTTTTTTGTGCAGTCATGCTGCCTCCCTTGGGCTGCTCACAGGGACTGTGAGACATCAGTTTATCTTTCCCTGACACCTAGTGGTATCAGTGTGGCCCCTTCTCACATCCATGTGAACTGAGATTCTCACTGCTGGGGCAGAGCATGGCAGCAGCTGCAGGTTGCCCAAAGAACTGCCAGTAGGCCTAGGAATTAAGAGAGCTGGGATCAAATCTACTCTCTGGGCCCTCAGGAGATAATCTTTCACCTGGCATGTGTCTAATGACCCAGTTTGGCCAGCTAGTGGTCATGTGACAGGTGAGTTACTTAGTTTCCTCATCTACAAAACGTCACATTTGCATGGCTTTAGAGCAGGCTCTAGAATGCTTTTACCCAAAACGGCGACGTAATTACTGCTGTATCTCCCTCACCCCCCTCACCCGGGGTTGGAAGGCACAAATGAGTAAAGTGCTTTGCAATGTAGAAGCTCCAAGTGAGCTTAAAGGGTCTGAGTTGTCATTGCTGGAGCGGCCTACAGGGAGCGCAGGACTTCCGGTCCGGCCCACTCCTGCCAGCCAAGGACCAGCGGGCCGGAAAGGGCTGCAGTGTGGCCTTGCGAAGGCATAAAACCCTGGGGGTTTACTCTTAGCAACATTTAGAAAATGGTGAAGATCGTACTCACCTAATGAATTAAAGCGTGAATATAAGGCTCTTAGCAAATGGTAATAATAAAGGATGGCAGGCTATTACTAAAACCAGCCTGGAAGTTATAAATATTAGAGAGAATGAGGTTGTTTATAATCCAGTGAGAGGACAAGCTTGGTGTCAATCTGCTCAAAAAGCAATTAATAAATAAAGGTGTGGAGGGAGCTCGTGCAACATCCTGTCCATCAGACACTGCTTCCCGCCCTGAGCCATGCACGGGCTAGGCCTCAGCAAGGGCCTGTGTGGGCGCTTGGCAGTGCTGCGGCAGGGCTGGAGGTCCTGAGAACTGGAGGTAAGGGAAGCTCTCTCTGCAGAGGCCATAGGTCCTCTCATCTCCTTCTACTGCCCAAGCACCTGCAGGATACTTACCCCTTTCTCCTTCCTCTGCATACCCCTTCACAGTCAGGCGAGCATCCCACTCTTCCTATACCTGCTCCCTCTCCCTTTTCTTCTTCATAGCCACACACCCCCATCTCTCTAACAGCATCCTGGCATCAGCCTCTGGGGCATCTGAGCTGACACTACACTCTTGTGCTCTTGGCCACTCCACCGTACTGCCCCCACTGACTTGCTCTGTGACTTGGGCAAATCATTCCCTCCCGGGGCCTCAGTTTCCCCATCTGCAAATGAGGTGAATGGATTAGATAATCTCTAAGACCCCTTACAGCATGGACATTGGGACTTGAGAACGCTGCTTCTCCATCAGGAGGAAGTCCCTGACTGACTGCCCCCTGTGAGCTCCCTGGAAGGGGGTTACTGACCTTCTGCAGCAAGAGAGAGCCCGAGTATTTGGTCACCGTGTCATATAGGTCCCTGCCAAAGGTGTCTGCCCACAGCTTCACTCTGCCGGGGAATGAAAGTACATGTGTATACACATGCACCACACAGACACACAGATATGGAGACACATATATGCACACACATATATGCACACACACATGCACATAGAACACCAGCGTGTACACACACACACACACACACACACACGCTGATACACACACAGAGACACACATAGCACATAGAGAGACCCACATACATACATGGATGCACATACATACCACCTACACCCAGAAACACCTACAAAGAGCTACCATCCCTCCTGGTCCAGGCAGGAGACCTAGAGGACCCTTTGGGGGCACAGCAGCTGCCCTCAGGGCAGGGCAGATGAGCTGGGAAGCAAAGCCTGATCCCAAACCCCTAAGGGTTCTGGTTTGTGGGTGGAGAACAGAGAGGAGAGAAAGGGAAGAGGTTATGGACAGGCCTAGACCAGGGTGGAGAGGATACTGAGGGTGGAAACAGGAACTGTTTGGTAGCACTGCAACTTTTTTTTTTTTTTAATGCTTATTTATTCTGAGAGAGAGAGAGAGAGCACAGAGGTGGAGCAGAGAGAGAGAGAGAGAGAGAGAGGGAGGGAGACAATTGCAAGCAGGCTCTGCACCATTAGCACAGAACCCATTGCAGGGCTGATCCCAGGAACCTTGAGATCATCACCTGAGCTGAAATCAAGAGTTGGATGCTGAACTGACTTGAGCTACACAGGCGCCCCGGCACCACTGCAGCTTCTTAATGGGCTGTGCCCTTCAGTGTGCCCTGCTCAAGGTCACGACTGGCTGCCAAATCCTCTGTTGAAACTTCAGAGGGGACATGAGGCCAGGGACAGACGGACGAAGAGGCTCTGAGCTGCTTTTGTGGGGGCAGAAAGCAGGCCAGACAGGGAGGGTGTGAGGAAGCAACCCCTCACCCTGGGTGCAGGCAACCTAGTAGAGAAGCCCTGACCTCTGATCCGTCCCCAGAAGTGCACCAAGATCCTGCCACCTGGGCAGGCTGGTGGCATCCTGGGGAGAATACATAGGACTGTGTCTGAGCCTCTCCAGATGGAGCAAAAGGAGCTTACCCTCATGATCCTGTCAAGGTCCACATTAATTCAATCACTCAACCAATAATTATTAAGGTCCTACTGTGTGCCAGCCATTGTGCACAGCACTGCAGTCATATCACGGTCCTTCCTCATCTTTGTAAAACCCTCAGTTAGAAGGACACCCCTCCATATACAGATAGCATAATACATGTTTGAAGGGGAGGGGTGCCATTGCAGGGCTGATCCCAGCCCTGCAAAGGGCTGGGGAGGGTAGTGGTGGTACCAGGAGGCTTCTTGGGACAAGTGGGATCTGAATTCAGTGTTAGAAGTTTGGGAGAGTTTAGGCACCTGGGTGGTTCAGTAAGTTGATCATTCAACTCTTGATTTCAGCTCATTATCTCACAGTCAAGGGTTCAAGCCCCACATTGGGCTCTGTGCTGGGTGTAGAGCCTGCTTAGGATTCTCACTCTCTCTTTCTGCCCTTCTTCCCTGCTCATACTCTCCCTGTCACCCAAAGAAAGAAAGAAAGGAGGGAAGAAAGAAAAGAAAAGCACAGAAAAGAAAGAAAAGTAAAAGAAGTTTGGGAGAGTTTAGCCTGCCAAAGAGATTTCTAGGTAGAGAGTATAGAAGAGCTTGGAGGGGTCAAAAATGACTTCAGGTTTCTAGCTTGGGTAGTTGAGCTGATGGTGGTGCTATTGAGAATTATCAGGAAGATCAGGAGGAACAAGTTTGAGAGGGTGGAAGGTGATGAGTGTGTCTTGGGATATATAAATGTGAGGTTCCTGTTGCAAAGCTACTGAGTGCTGTAGGATATGTTGTGCACTGCACAACTCCAGAAGGTACCAATTGCATTATATCTTGGAAGACACAAACTTAAACTTAAAACCTCACAAGATATTTAGAAAGAGCTGTCCACAGGCAATGGTATGTGAGTCTAACAAGTAGAGATAGGGCTGAGAGTCATTAGTACATAGGTAGAGTTGAAATTCTGAAGGTATATGGGCTCTCTCAAGGAGAGTGTGGAGCATGAGAAGACCTGTGAGTTGATGAAAAACCCTGGGAGGCACCAACAATCTGGGGGGCAGGCAAAGGGAAAGAATTGCTTGAGGAGGACAGAAGGTCAGCTCAGGTGCCCAAGGAGTCCCAGAGGAGCACAATGTTAATGGAAGTTGAGACATTGAGATTCAAGTAAAAGAGAGTCCAGGGAGATGGAGCCAGGAATGTCTACTGGGTTGCGCAGGGAAGAGATCTTTGGAGATCTCGATGGGAACAGTTTTGGGAGGGCAGTAGAAGCCTGGGAAGGTGGTGGAGGCTGAGGGCTGAGCAGGAAGCAAGGGCACAGCTGGACACAAGGGAGATGAAATGTCATCGGGGTGGAAGAGGATTCAGCAGGAGAGAGAGGTGGGGTTGTGTCAAGGGGCTGGCAGAGGTCCAGCTCCCAGGAAGAGGGCAGGTGCAGATACAGGCAGGTTTGAGGGCTAATAATCTCAGCCAACTGTGGAGGTTTCTAAGTAGATGGTCCAGTCTGCCATTCTCCTCAACAAAGACCTGGATTCCAGCCATCTTTACTCAGCACTCAGCCTATTCCTGGAGTTCCCCTTTTACAATTTTGTTGTGTATTCTGGGGCTGGAAACTTATTCTCAACATCTCCCTCAGCAACAGATAGTCTTATAGCCCAGCAACAGGTGAAGCACAGGCCAAGCTGACTTGAGTTTAGCTTCTGGCACTTCCGTTTACTGCCTGTGTGAACTTGGGGAGGTCATCCAACCTCTCTGAGCTTATTTCCTCAAGTTCAGAATAGGGAAGCTATCACCCACTTCGTTGCATTGCTGTGTGGAGTAAATATATTATTTATAAAGCACCTAACGCTGTACTAGGCATAGAAAAAGTAGAGGTTATACAATCCAGTGTAAACAAGGCTGCTCAAATCCATTGCTCAACAAAGCTAGACATAATGTGCATTGTTTGTCCTCCCTGTCTCCACTTCTGTTAAGAAATGAGGTTGACAGCTGGCTCTGGTAGCCTATTTTGCTGGTCATGAGTAGCTGGGCTTAGATATGGACTGAGCAAGCTGCCCCCTTTACTCTAGAGTTCTCTGCTCCCCACATACATTGGCATTTCTTAATAGGACCACATGATCAAAGGACGGAAAACTAGACACTCTCAGAGAGGTTGCACAGCAATTAAACTTTATACCAAAATGTAAATGACTGAGAGCAGATTCTTTCCTGGAGCTGGGCTGATTGACAGAATGTAGAAGGGGGCCTGGAAGGAGGCAGAAGGGAAGACTAAGGCGACCAAAGTCCAATTTTACTCAGCTCCCGGTTGCATGAGCCATTTTGTTGGTTTAGAACTGCTTTACCCTTTCAGAATGTCAAAACACAAATTTCCCAACAAATCCTTGGGGAGCCACGACGATCATTTTGAGCTAGCACATCTCCCACTGCCAGGGGCGTAATGGCAGCGATTATCCTGGAAGGAGCATCCATCGGGCCTGCAGGAGCTTGAGATGCTGCTTGCCAGCCAGAGGAATGAGGACCCTCACTTCAGTTCTGCCTGAAGTCAGCAGGTGTGAGGAGTGGCAGGTGGGGCTCCTGAATGGCAGAATGTGGGAAGAAGGGAGGGAAAGGGAGAGTGGAAACCCCCAGGGGGAGCCCTGAGGGAAGCTAGAGGTCCAGGTGGGAAGGTGGACAGAGGATTGAGCTCTATAGGGGGAAGGAAGGGAGGAAAGGGCCAGAAGATTTTAGAGGGTTGGGGTGAACTTGATGCTTACGTTTCCAGAGGAATCTCGGTCTGCGCGTGTGTGGGGGACAGGGAGGTACTGGAGAGTAGCAGGCACAGGATGACCACGGTCTTCTGCAAGGAGGCCCAGGACCCTGGCCATTGGTGGCAGGGCCTCCTGCTGTGGGGGGCGCTGGTGTCTAAGTGGAACCTGGGGAGTCCTGGCATGGTGTCTCTGCTGGGCTCGGGGTGAAGGCAGGGAGAGAAGAGAGCAGTCTCCAACCGCCAGCTCTGTCTGCCTGTCACCTAGATCCTTGGGACAGCCCCAGGCCTTCTGCCTTCCTGGCAAGCCTGGGGTTCCCAGCTTTGTCTTGTCTTGGCTGCAACGCTTGGCAAGGGTGGGGGTTTCTCTCTGCCCACAGAGAACAGTGCACAGAGGAGCCGCCCCACCTGACCAGCAGGCTCCAAGAGGGGGCTGATGGTCTGAGGGGGGTGGTTGTGACAAAATGAACCCGTTAATCCATTGGCCTCTCCTCTAATCCCCTGCCTGACAGCAGGGAGGAGGAGGTGGCAGAAATGACCTCAGCAGGATTACCCTGATTTGAGAAGACAGGACTCGGTTCATTCCATTAGGGGCCAGAACTTTAAAGAGACAGCCCTGTTCCTGTAGACTTGTTTCTTCTGGACCCAAGGGGAGGAGAAGACTGTGACACTGGCCTGAGAACAACAGGGGGCATCTGTCCAGTGCTCTGACTTATCAAGAGAAGGAACAAATTGGGGCGCCTGAGTCACTCAGTTGGTTAAGGGTCTGACTCTTGATTTCAGCTCAGGTCATGATCTCAGGTTCGTGAGACTGAGCCCTGTGCTGGGCTCTGCACTGACAGCATGGAGCCTGCTTGGGATTCTCTCTCTCTCTCTCTCTCTCTCTCTCTCTCCTCCTCCTCTCTCTACCCCTCCCCCACTCTCAAAATTAATAAATAAACTTAAAAAAAAAGATGTAACAAATTGGTGTTTTAAATCTTAGAGCCATTCTGGGAGTTCAGTGTCATCATCCCTGTTTTCAGGGGGCTCTTGAGGCACAGGTAGGCTTGGGGACGGAGCTGAGACTGTAACTCTGGCTCCAGGCCTGCTGCCTTTTGATGAGGTCATAGATAATGTCAATATCCTATGGCCCCCACCTCCCCCATGTGCTCCTGGTCCTAGGCTAAGGGACACGTTTGCTGGGAAGCTGATGAAGCTTCAGGGCCCCTCCCTGAGGGGCAGCATGTTCCTGTACCCAAATGTTGTGTTAATATATGCAAAAGTAAGATCGTCCAAGTACAAGTGGTTAATAGCTCTGTCTCTTTCCATTCCAACTTCTCTGTCTGATTTTCCTTTAGTTGGGTGATGTTTGAGTGCCTGTGGGCATTTCGGGGATCCAGCTAAGAGGAAGTTGAATTGGGGAAACATTTAATTTGGGCTTAGAAAGATATATTTCTGTAGCTCACTGTCACTTCCATGTATAGATAACTTATCTGCAACCATCCGGGTATAGGAATGGTTTCCAGGAACACTCTCATCACTGCCAGTGCCTACACTGTTCATCAGGACGTGCAGGTGCAGCCTAAGTTTATCATGGTGTGAATGTCCTACAGCACCCACCATTGGAAGTATGTGGGAGGGGAGGGAAAAATAAGGTTTGGAAATACTTTGAGCCAGAAGCTAGTCTGGCAGATTCTTCCAATGATCAAACAAGTAAAATTGCCAGCAGAGGATTTGGTTCTTATCAAGGCCTGGCCAAAACAGTTCTCTCTTGTTAGGAAAGTAGTCAATGTTGAATGTATGTAATTATAAATATAGCTTATATTGTCTTCTCTTCTGATGGGGATTACACAAAACATAATTTGACCAAAACTGTTGTGTTTGTGGGCCCAGTCTGGTACTGGTGCTACACGGGCACTGCATGTGAAGTCTCAGCTTACACAGAACACGTATCGGTGCTTCTTAGTGGATCTGATACATCTTGTCCTGACAAAATCTGCGGGTTCCAGCAAAGTGGCACACAAAATTGCCACCAACGCAGAGAAATGCCTGAAGAAGCAAGTGTTTTAGTGACAGAACTCCTACACAGATTTATCAATAAGTCAATGTTGTAGCATCAGAGTAATCTGGTTACGCAATTATTTGGTTCAACATAACATGGCAGCCGATTTTTAAACGCATTTGAATTGTTTCTATGAATGCCTAATTTCGGATGAAGTTTGCACATTTTAAAAATACAAATCATAGCAAATTTAGAAAAAAGTACTACACAGGCTTATGGGACAATTAATAAATAAGAACACGTACTTTTTCTAGGTTTATGATTTCTGTAGTATTCATCACCTTAAAATGTGTAGTTTCAAGTGATTTTTTTCATTCTAAATAAATGTTCACTTTAATATCTATTTTTGTATTTATAATTTGCATTCCTTTTCTACTATAGATAACCACCCCGAAATTTTGCAAGCTTCTGACCCCACAGCATCTGGCCCCTGACCCCTTTGTGGCACCTGCTCACTGAAGGCACTGACTTCTTCTAACGGGATAAGCATGGAGCTACATAGAAACTTTTGCTCACTTCACAGATACAACAGTGGCCCAGGTCCTACCTGGCCCTTTAGATTTGCTTGGGAAGACCTCAAGGTTCTTGTAAAGAAAAACACTGATGTTACAATGGTGAGTAAAGGAAAGTGATGTCTTTTGAATGACCTACTGAGGTATTTCACTCTGCAAGTGCCTAACCAACTGTCTAGAGAAAAATACCTTTTAAATAACTCTAAAATAATTGCTTTGTATCATTGTTTACTCTGGCCCATTTTGCTCATTAGGACTATGACCCAGAGGTATACTGCATGATATTGGGAAACACTACGGATTGTGGTGGGAGCGGGGGGAGTAAGGGAGGGCAGAGGACTTGGGAGCCGAATAACTCCAGAGAAGAGATGTCTTAGTAGGAATAAAATGAAGCATGGGAGCAGAGCATAGAGCTAAGGGAATGATCAGTCCTTAAGACAGATGTTTGAAACTCAGAACCTTCAGGGGCTCATCCCTTAGCTGCAGGCCAGGATGGCATATTCATGCTGGCTAGGAGAGAACTGATGTTGTGGCTTTATTTTTTTTAAGTTTATTTATTTTGAGAGACAGAGCAAGTGGAAGAGAGGGGCAGAGGGAGAGGGAGTGAGAGAATCCCAAGGAAGCTCCACACTCAGCTCAGAGCTCCACATGGGGCTCGATCTCACAACCGTGAGATCATGTCCTGAGCTGAAATCAAGACTTGGACACTTAACCAACTGAGCCACCCAGGTGCCCCGTGGCTTTATTTTTAAGGGCCATAAGAGAAGGAGTATTGCAACTTTCTCTTGGTCAATGTTTCATATCAAATCCCCCACAATTTAATCAATCCATCCTAACCCACTTTCCTAGGGCATCTTGGCACCAGGCACTGGAGATATGATGCATAGAGCTGGCATGAAGATTGGATATGGTGCATGAGATAGGGCTCAGAGTCTTTACAGGAAGGCCGATCTCAAAACAACAGCTTAGGGAGCTAAGTGCTGTGATGCATAAGCGAAGTATTTGGCAATGTAGTAGAGGGGACATTATTCTCTCCTTATGGTGGGGAAAAAGGAGGAGGGAAGTTTTAGGGAAGACTTCACAGTGAAAGAGACATTTGAATTAGGCGTTATTTATTTATTTATTTATTTATTTAAACTTACATCCAAATTAGTTAGCATATAGTGCAACAATAATTTCAGGAGTAGATTCCTTAATGTCCCTTACCCATTTGGCCCATCCTCCCTCCCTCAACACCTCCAGTAACCCTCTGTTTGTTCTCCATATTTAAGTCTCTTATGTTTTGTCCCCCTCCCTGTTTTTATATTATTTTTGTTTCCCTTCCCTTGTGTTCATCTGTTTTGTCTCTTAAAGTCCTCATATGAGTGAAGTCATATGATATTTGTCTTTCTCTGACTAATTTCGCTTAGCATAATACCCTTCAGTTCCATCCACGTAGTTGCAAATGGCAAGATTTCATTCTTTTTGATTGCTGAGTAATACTCCATTGTGTGTGTGTGTGTGTGTGTGTGTGTGTGTGTGTGTATCTATA